ACACACTCCCCCTGCATCAGTGTATCATATAAATGATATTTCTTGTCAGCACAACATATGACATACCTGCAAAACAGATTAAGTAGATTCTGGTACCCAGAAAAACATGGGTCCTACTTTGTTAGTATTAGCCTGAGGGATGTTATAACTGCCATACCATCTGTTCTTATCAGATAAATTCTTTTTGGCACTCTTAACAGGTAAATCAGATATGCAATAAGAACCATACTAGTCATTTTCATACCTGTTATATGTATTACAACTGTTCTCATAGCAGTTGTTCCCATACCATTTGTTGAACTTCTTTTTGTTGACAGAATTATTAGTTCCACAAGTTGAGCACCAAATTCTTCTCTTGCTAAGACTGATCAATTGATTAGTAGACTTCATAGGAAGAATAGTATTGGTAACAACATGTTTATGAGAAACAACATGTTTATGAGAAACAACAGAATCAACTTTATTAACCCAAACTTGTTATACTTTTGAAAAATTATTGAATGATTCAATGACATAACCTTTGTAAAACTGATTAGAAGTATGAGACTTGTTTTTAGAAACAATTGATTTAGAGATGCTTGAATAACTGTTGGATTTAACACTAGAACAGTCATAAAAGCAGGTTTTACACTTAGATTGAGAACCAGTTGAGCTTTCAGCATTTGATTTAGAAAAATCTTTTATTTTCTTAAGTAATTGGTCTCTCTCATCAGTAATTAAATCATATTTCTTCTTAAGTTCAGTTCTCATATTCATTTCAGCTACAAGTTCTGTCTTTAAATCAGACAATTTCTTTGAAGTTTCCGAGAACTTACCTTCCAATTCTCTTCTCTTTTTCTCAAAATCTTTTCTTTCTTTCTCAAATTCTTTTCTCTCTTCTTCTGAACTTTCTTTACCATTCTTTGAAGCAATGTCAAGCCATTTCTTCTTTTCAGTTAGCTCTTTAGCAATTGATGCATTCTTTTTAGCAATATTTTTCTTTTCCAAATCAAAAACTTTCTTCTCTTCATTTAAAGTTTTCTGCTTTTTAGCAATGATGTCAAACATTTCCAAATGCTTCTTTTGACATTCTTCCTCATATTCTTTCATTTAAGTATCAAACTTGGCTCGTTCCAAGATGATAACTTGTTCGAAATCTGAGAATTTTTTTTGAAAGCATTGTAGCATTAAGCTCTAAAGCTTTTATTTTGCTTTCAAAATATTGTCTTTCAGCACTAAACCTTTTCTCAGCCTCTATCAGCTTATCATTCTGCTTTTCTTGTAAACTTTTTTCAGCAGTCAATTCATTCTCTACTTTATGGATTCTCTTTCTCAGCTCATACTTCTCTTTGATCTGCTTTATCCTTTCTTCATCTGACTCTTTTCTTTCAGATTCTAAGATCTTCTCAATTTTCTAAACTCTAGATGTCAGTCTGGAATTTTCCCTTAACAAATCAAAGTTTTTCTTTTGACTTGCACAGAGATAAATATATTTTCCAAGAAGTTCATCAATCTCAGCTTGAAGAATCTTCTTTTCTTCTTCAGATTTCTTCAGTTCTTGTTTCATCTCATTAGCCCAAACAAAATTTGCATGATTCTCACAAAATACCTTTACATATTTATCTTTTTGCTCTTTCAGACTCTTCTCTAAAACAAAAATTTTCTCTTTCAGTTCCCTTGTTTTCTCTCTCAGAATATAATGTCATTTCAAAAATTCACAATGAATTGATTAAACACCAAAGAATCTCTGCAGTTCAAGAAATTGATTAAAGAAAATAATATCCAAAAATACCTCAAAATCACACACAGTTTCTTTAAAATTCAAAAATCAGCACTTAGCAAAATTTTCAAACTTCAAGTTCTATTTGAATAAGAAGTTATCAAATAACAAGCAATATAAACAACTTGGTCAACAGACTTCAAACACAATAATTCGGTCAAAAAGGTAATCGATTTAAAAATATTACAAGTCAACTTTGAACAACTAAGGAAGTTGTCCGGAGAAGAAATACGTTCAATGACTTAATAAAAAATCATTCAATCAAATATGAAAGCACCAATACGGACAAGGAGTCTTCCAATGAAAGAGATATGGACAGTTTCACATGGATAACATCTAATCTGGTTAAGGACTTGGACAAAATTGACTACGGACAAGGTGACTTCCGATTAATGTAAAATACGGACAAGATTACATGGGCAATGTTTCACACGGATCACCTCAAATCCGGTCAAGAAGGATTCCGGATAACAGCTAAATTAGGTAAAGTGATGACCGATGTATGCTAAATACGGATAGATTGATAGGATACCTACAGACTTAAATTGATTTGCAAATTAAGAAATTCATGAACAAAGCTATGTCCGGATTATGAAGAGTACGGACAAATGGTTGATCGATTTCACACAAACAACAAACACAAAATCGGACAAGGAGATGACCGATATTTAAGAAATTTGGTCAAGATGATAACCGATATTTAAGACTTATACGATCAGCAACAAGATTTCATTAACCAAAACACAAAACATCTCAAAAATTAAAGCAAAATAGGATAAAAAAACTCAAAATTTTATGATTTTGAACACGAACAAAACCTTTTTCAAAACCCAAAAATTCCTTCAAATCTCCAAAGATAATGACCAAATCACAAAATTATGTGAACAAGAATGATTCACAACATAAAATCACACACAAAGATCAATATTTTAACAATCAAACACCAAAAATTTAAGAGATTCGAGATGAAATTTATGAAAATTATAATAAAAGCTCAAGAACACTCTATGAACATTCAAGAACTCCTCGATGAATTTTCTATGATTTTCAGAAATTGTGCATAAAAATGTTGAAATTCGTGTAATTTCTTCAATCAAATCGCTGCATCCAAGCTCTTATACCAATTGAAAGTTCCAATTGTTCAATCAAAAAAATCTTCAAAGATCATCAAGAACACAATAAATGGCAATATCAAGAATTATGAATCTTGAAAGAAAAAGTCAAACAGTCAAAGTATGTATATTATCTTCGTAGCTCAACAATTACAATACTAATCACGATTAAACTCACTTCTACTTCTAACCACTAAGACTAATCTATTTGAAGGTCAAACCAAATACAAAACTACAAGGAGAAACTTCAAGATTGAATACAACATATAAGCTCTAAAACTCAAACCTAACATTTATCTTGTTCCATTTTAAACTTCTTCTCCAACTCATAAATTCTTTCCTTAAGTTCCTTATTCTCTCTTTCTATCATGAATGCCATTTCACACAAATTGAATTGATTAAATCTTTTGATCTTTTTACAGTTCAAAACTTAGAGAATCCAAAACAAACTCTTATCGGACAAACAAACCAACTTTATCAGACACCAAGTATATCTCCCAAACAAGGTTATCAGACAACCCTTATCGGCTAAAACACCTTATCGGTCAACTCACCTTATCAATCACCACTTGATCGATACCAACCTCTTATTAGACATACTTTATCTGATAACAATCCTTATCGGTCAACACTTTTATCAAACAGATTTTGACCGGATACAACTCCATATCAAACAACACTTATCCTATCAAATTAATCTTATCGCACAATACTTATCAATCAAAAACCTTTTATTGCACAAATCACAACTAATTGGTCAACAAAGATATTCAACGGTCGATGACTGAGTCTTATCGCTTGATGAATATGTTCATCAGGTAACTAAAGAAACTGTTAGTGAAAATACATAAATCAATCCAAAAACACTCAAAATTACATCAAATTAAATAAAATCAACACAGATCAATTCACAAATTGACCACGAACAAGATTTCAATACCAGTTTTAATCAAACACTTATAAAAAATGACCAATTTGATAAAATTTGTAAGAACAAAGTATGAATTTTTCAAGAACACGAATTTCCAAAAAAATCAAAATTGACACTTGAAATCAATTCAATTACGAAATTGAATTATTCATATCAGTTTCAAATCAAAATCCTCATACAATTCAAACAAACTCAAACAGAAAATCAAATAGATTATGAAATTGTGATTAGAACAGTAGGTAAAAATGATACGATCAAGAATTGTCCAAAATGTCGAAGTTCTAATCCAATTCTGGTTCGATTCAATCCAATTCAATTTCCTAAATCGTTGTAATCCGCTCTGATAGCAATTGATAATCCCAGAAAGATTAATTAATTCACAATTAAGAATCAAGATCACAATAGCCATTGACAATATAGAAAGATATTAGAAAATGTAGAGAGAGAGAGAGTTTCAAATGCTTCCTCGTATTCAATCTGCTTCAAAGATTACAATGACAAATCTATTCAATTTCTTATAATACACTATAAAGGAAACTTATTTATACTAAGACAAATACAAGACGAATTACAAGAGAAATAAAGCTTGAATACAACATATTAAGCACAAAGTCTTGACCCAACAATACTTGAGTGGATTTGTCTGTTTTTTAGCCTTATCGAGTGAAGTATTGTACGATAAAGAACTTCTATTGATCAAATACTTGTCCGATAACAAGTCTTACCGCTTGAAGGCTTTGTGTGATATCTCATCTTATCATACAAAGGGTGTTGGATAACCTTGCTTCATCACACACTTTGTATCTAGATATCTTAATTCATTGCTCACATTTGCTAATCGTTCAAGTCAATCTAATCGCTCACTCTTGTGTTAGGTAACTCTCCTTATCGCCCATAGTTGTATCTGATAACTCTATTTATCGTCCATAGCTTTGTCCGATAATATTTCTTTGTTGAGCGATAACAAGCTTGTTCCGATAAAGGATTGTTTGATAACTTCAACTTGTTGTCCGATAAGTTGTTTTTCATTGTCCGATATCTTGTGTGCTTTGTTGAGCGAGAAGGATTATTCTCATTTTTTTGAGCGATAAGAAATCTGTTTGAAATTTTTTTCAAATGTCAAGAATTTCTTTCTGATTTTCAAATGCAGTCCCAGTGATTTTCTAAAAAATATCAATTTCAAGTCTACATTGCAAAAATGTCTAAAGACATGTTGAGTATTGGTTCAGATTCCAAGCCACCGGTTCTTGCTATTGGCGAGTATCTACAATGGAAAGTTCAGATGATCCATTTTCTAGACAATAAAGATGAAAAGTTGATGCAATCCATAAAGAATGGACCTTACATCAGTTACATAGATCTACTTGCCCAGACAACTGAAGAGGGTATTGTTGTTCATGCATCAAAAAAGAAGAAAGATCCTCAGTATTTTACTGAAACTGAAAAACAAAAGGTCTTGATTGATAAGAAAGCATTGACGTACACGTTAATGGAAATTCCGAATGAGCTGTTTAACAGAATAGATATTTGTGGATCTGCAAAAGATCTATGGGATGAGCTTGAAAAGCATATGCTTGGTAGTGAGAAATCTGTACAAAGTAGGATGAATCAGTGTATTAGTGCTTATGAAGGGTTTAGGGCAAGAGAGAATGAATCAATTACTAAATCCTACAACTGATTCAACGTTCTGAATGATTTGAGAAGAAATGGAATTTAGAAATCCATGTCTGAGATCAAATACAAGTTTCTGAAGAATCTGAAACTAGAATGGAACACTCTTATAGTGAATTTTACAAATGAATAAGAATATGCCTAAGGATTCATGATTTGTACAACATTTTGTTTGAACAAGAAGAGACTGTGAGAGAGTTAGTGAATGAAAAGAAGAAGGTGGCTGACTCATTAAATCTGCTTACTGGGAAGCAAGGGAAGAGCAGAACTAAAGCTAAAAACCCAAAGTGTTTGAAGACAATTTTCAAATTAGTCAGAAACTGAATCAACTGAATATTCCTCTGCAGATTCTGATGATGACATTATTGAGTTTTCCAAGAAACTTTCCTTGCTGATCAAGAAGTTTTAGAAGAGATTTGGGAAGAAGAAATTTATGAAGTATGATAAGAGAAAAGGGAAGGAAGTCAAGCAAGAGAAGTTTACTAAAACCATAGACCAGAAGGATACAAAGGTTGAAGAAAGCAAATGCTTCAACTAGCTGACTTATGTACAAAAGCTTTAGATGAAAAACACTTCAGCTTTTTATAATCGAAGTTAGGTATGTTGAATTTGAAAATTTAAATTTTTCTTAAAAACTGTTCAATTAATTGAACTGAGTTTAAGTCAAATACTTTTTTTCAAAATATATGTATTTGTTAATATAAATCATTATTTCATTTTTTCATTGTGATTGAAAATCTTTTGATAATGGAATCTATATCTGAGGGGGAGTGTTGAACTTTGTTCTTAATTTCTGACTCATTTTTCGAGAGGGAGTTTACATATCTGTATGATGCTAACTGCTTTATTTTTCTTACAAGTACTGTTATAATATCTAATTTTTTGAAAGTTGTGAGTTTAAAAGATAAGTGTTTTTCCGATTTAGTTTAAATCCGAACAACACTTTGTTCGATAAGGACTCAATCCGGATGAAACTTTATCTAAAGAGAGTCATATATGGACAAAGTTATGTCCGATTTAGAGCAAATTCGGACAAGAGGCTATCCGATAAACTCCCATCTGGATAAGATTAGATATGTTTTTGGCTAAGTCTCATTTATTTGTAATCCGTTCAAAGAGTCATCCCGATTTGGTGTTATCCGTTCAAAGAGTCATCCGGATTTTGTCTAATCCGGTTGAAGAGTCATCCGATTTATGTCTAATGCATTTGAAGAGTCATCTGGAGATGGTAATCCGTTCATGTGTTATCCGATTTTCTTGAGTGTTGTGTTTTGTTTTAGTCAAATCCGGACAACTCTTCGTCCAGATTAGAATGTGAAGAGTTTCTCACTACCTATATAAGTGGTTGTCCAAATTTCATTTCACTCTTTTACTGTTTCACTCTACATCGCACAAGCTCTCAAGTCATTATTCTACTCATCGTCTCCGTATAACTTCCTACGACTGTTCTTCAAGATCTTCTTCGTCTATTCTTTTTTATTCTTATCTATATGCTCTATTGGACTGTGTTTTTGATCATAAAAGGTTTGTGGATCATCTTGTTGGACTTAATCGAACTGTTAATGAACTTGGTAATCCTTAAAACTTGGATATGAATCTGGAAATAAGAACCCTAACTCTAAAATCGTTAAATCTTAAATATGGGTTGAATCGAAGGACTGTTATGAATCTTAATTTGTTTGAATCTAAGAACTGTTAGAAGTTGGATTAGTATCCAGATTTGTTAGCTCTAATATTCATTTCTTGTAAAAGTATGAAAAAATATTCTGCAAGTGTTGACAGAAGGGTATCTTCCACAGAAGACAACAGAGGACTAGCAACAGAAGTTGTTTCATCGTGCAAGTAAAATGTGACAGAACCTCTAATGTCTCTCATAGAGGTTCTGGAAAATGGTCATCTGTCAATAAGAACAAGCAAGTCTATTACAGCAGAGCCTCTGAGATGGCTCACAGAGGGTCTGTGGTTTCGTCTTCTGTGAAGATCCTCTCCCAACTCTTTTTCAAAGGTTGTTAGCTGCATGTGCTTCTCACGGGACTAGGACTTAATCGACTTTATTTGGACGGCTTAGATGATTTCACGCGTCAAGATCTTGTCAGTAAGGTCGTTAGGAACTAGTATAAATAACGGCTAAGGACTTTGTATTCAGTGTGCTTCCGAATTGTAATCGTCTTATTTTCAATTGAATGAATTGGAAAACCATTGAAGCTATTCTCCTGTGTTCTTCTTCTTCATCATCTTAATTGTGTGTTCTTGGTTTATTTTACTCTGTTCTGTTCTTAATATTGTTTCCGCTGCACTTTAATCGTTTTAAAGTTCATTCAAAGTATTAGATCAAATATCAAAGCTGAATTTACAGGTCCAACAATTGGTATCAGAGTAGGAATTGAATTCTTATTCAATTAATTATGTTTTTGGTATTAATCTACGTCTTCTAAAACACCAGTTTTCTTTAGATTACCCTGTTTCTTCTAATTTCAATGGCTAACTTGGTCAATACCTCATTCATGAGCACTGGATCTCAATCAAAGCCTCATACGCTTATCATAGAGGAATATTCACAATGGAAAATGCGTATGATCAACTTCCTGGAGGGAATTCACCCTAGAATTTGTGAATTTCTCTATAATCCAACATTTGTGCCAATGAATTTGATTCCAAGAGTTCCAGCAACTGGTACAACTCCTGAAGTTCCTGAGCATTATGAGCCCAAACCAATCACAAAGTGGAACGATGAAGAAAAGGTATTAGTTGAATTGGAAAGCAAATGCAAAAGGATGTTGATCATGGCTATACCACATGAGATCTTCAAATGCATTGATCACTGTCATCTGTCTATGGACATTTGGGCAGAATTGGAGAAACAAATCGATGAAGTAAAGAAAACTATCGAGAACAACAGAGCCATGTGTATTCATGAACATCATAACTTTAAGGCTAAGGAGGATGAACCTCTGTTAGACACAGAGGATGAGATCTTCTGTGGAATAACAAATATTGACTCAGACTCCTCTTACTCAAGTGACCAAGAGGTTTCCACTTCTTAATCTTCTGAATCAATTGATAATTTTGATTCATGTCATTTGGAACATTACAAGCTCAAAGAAAAACTTTCTCTTTGTGAAAA